TTTTTCTGGCTTTCCAACTATGCAACAAGAGCTGTTACAAATTCATCCAAGCTAATCATTATTTTTCCCGTGGAAACAAAGCTTATACTAGCAGTGAAATTGACGTTTCTCCATTCCGAAAATAATATTAACTCTTTTGGCCCATGACACAAAGTTTTAGTGTTTTATATTCAAAATTTTATTAAACTACTTTTTGTTTATGTTATACTAATTAGAATAGCATAAAATCTTATCTAATAATCCATATTTTAATAGTATACAAGTTTTAAGTTCTTAATTCAACAAGAAATATATATATAAACAAATTCTGAAATTCCACTAGTGAAACATACTTGACACATTTTGTCGTAGCATGTCATCATCCCTATTTTATCCATCACCCCTCGAAAATGTATGAAATTAAGCGTAAAATACACTCTACAAAACTGTTATTGCTGAAAGAGACCATAATTTTTATAAACTTCAATTTTGTTTGGTTACAGAGCTATTCTATAGAAAATCAGACTCCTCCTGCCACACCCACTTGTCACATCCCCTCTTTCACAATTCATTGATAGTTCTCTCATACATTTCATTATATATTACCTATAACCAATAGAAAGTCAAGATTTTAATCTATCAAATGATGTATTCTGAACAGAATATTGTTAATTTCACTCACAGTCAAGATTCATTCCCATGGGAAAGTTAGCGACTAGCTTGGATGAATTTGTAAAGGCTCTTGTCGCATTGTTAGAAAGCCAGGAAAATTTTGAGAGTTAAGTGAATTTGTCTACTTTTTTGCATGTTATTAGTCTATATTTTTTGGTGTATTATTTGATTAAATGAAAATTTTTTGCTGCTTTGCTACAATCACTAAAAAAAATCAGGCTTAACTACCCTCGCAATCGAGGGCAAGAAAAAAAGAAGATTGTGTAAGTACTTTATTTCTTGTTTTTCATATTTATTCTTTATTTATTATTATAAAAGTAACTAAAATTAAAAGTACGGATCTTTCTAAGTTATTTAAGACTAGATTAGGTAAAATAAGTAATAATAATAATATAATTAAAATGGTTTACGAGGCACGCATTCAAGCAGCTTGTGGGTAATGTAATTTGATAGCGTAAGGTGAGCTGCACATTCCCCAAGTGATTTACAACTTTTATGGTGGGAATAGCAGTGAGACACGGTTAGAATGGTAATGAAAAGGGCAATAAAACATTAAAATTTAATTATAAATAGATGTATAATGGTACGAACTTAGAACTACATAGGATAAGCGAATGTAGTTACAGGTTACAATTTGAAGTCATTCTAGAAAGAAAAGAATGTTAATTTAGGTTTCTTTCATTTTTTTTTTTTGGTCGAATTGACTAGTACCGTTTTGAGATAGGGTAGAGAAAATAACATAAAAACCTCAAGGATTTAGTGAAAAAAAAAACGGTTGAAATGTATTTAGTAGGTTTTAGGGATTACACAAAGGAAATTTGAGATCTTTTAGATGATGAAAAGTATTTCTGATTTTGATATGAAAATCACTTTGCACTCAGACTAGTTAAAAAAAAAGAATCAATATTTTCACGGACAAATTTAAATAAAAATACTTCATTAAAAATCTGATTTTTTGTGTGCAAAAGACTTCTAATGTTTACTATCAGTTTACAAAATTTTGTAAAGATACACTTAAAATATTAGAAGTTATTAGTATGTAAACTATAAAGAGGTTATGGTTCCGAGGTTGGTCTCAGGGACCGAGCCCGAGTTGAAAGAGTTAAATAATATGTCATTTGATAGATTAAAATCTTGGCTCTCTATTGGCTATAGATAATATAGAATTAAACATGAGAGAGAACTATTAACAAATCCTTAAAAAGAGGATATGAGAGGTGGGTGTAGCAAGAGGGGTCTGATTTGGTATTTGATAGTTCTGTAACCAAACAAGATTGAAGGCTATAAAAACTAGGGTTTGTCTGAGCCTTGACAATTTTATGGTGAATAATTTATGTTTAATTTTGTACTTATTGGAGGGGTGATGGATAAAATAGAGATGAGAAGATGCATAGAGAAAATGTGTCAGTGTCAAACTAGGGGAAATTCAGGATTTTTTAAGATATTGGTGTATAAAATTAAGAACTTAAAAGTTATATAATATTAAAATATGGATTATTAGCTAAGATTTTATGCTATACCAATTGGTATGACATAAACAAAAAATAGATTAATATAATTTTGAATGCAAGTCACAAAAAAATGTGTCATGCTCAATAAAGGATGCCTGTTGCAATAGGGTTAAGCATGTTTAAAATTTTACTAGTAAAAAAAGCAGCCTTTTCAAATAAAACATATACATCTAAAACATCACTTTAAATAAACCTTCATGTCTTTTAAAGTAATTTTTCTACAAGTGTGTTTAATAAAATTTGATATTGTGTATTGATTTCTTAACTCCTTCAATTCATACATGATATAGTGCTTGGCTGTCTAAAGACACCGGTGGTTTATTATACAAATCATTGAGTATCTACATGTTACAGTCATCTAATGTTCATCTATTATTGTCTGGTAATTCCTGTTTCACCCTGTACTTAAGCCTTTTAACCCTCTTGACACAGGGTTGGTCAAGTTGACCGAGTCATGTGACCTTTTGTACTTGTTTAAAGTCTTTATGAATTTAATACTTATAACTCTCAATACATTGGGTATATATTCATGAAATTTGGCGGGTTTCGAGGAGAGTTAACTCTAATTCTTTTATAGTATAGATAGTACTTGATAATTTTATCTAATTAAATAATGCACCAAAGAATATAGACTAATAACATGCAAAGTAGACAAGTTCCTTTACCTCTCAAAACTTTCCTGGCTTTCTAACTATGCGACAAGAACCATTACAAATTCATCCAAGCTAGTCGTTAACTTTTCCACAGGAATGAATCTTGATCTGTGAGTGAAGTAGACAATATTCTGTACAGAACACAATGTTATACAATATGTCATTTGATAGATGAAAACATTGACTTTCTATTGGTTATAGGTAATATATAATGAAATGTAAGAGAGAACTATCAATAAATTGTGAAAGAGAGGATGTGACAGGTGGGTGT